TCAGTTAAATGTATTATGGAAGACAGGTAAGTAGTAAGAATAAGTTTAGAGATTGCCAAACGTTCAATTGACATAATACATCCATCCATGGAACCGTCTCCTTGAGATGAATGAACTCGCTCAGTTGACGATAGAAGCCAGCTTTCACGGAATCTGTGCAAAAGGCTGTGGGGGGCGGGGAAGCATAGACAGCTATGAGAAACAAGCACATACTACCGTGTTCAAAAAGTAAGCGAACTTTCCACGTAAAGTAGTCTCTTCTATTGGCAGTGTCCCTTACTCAACGGTGCTTCTATTTTTGGAAAGTTTCCGGAAACGCACTTGCTGTTATCGCTTTGTCCTCAAGCTTCTTTATGTTTTGGAAATGACCTCCTTTTAGCGCGACTTTAAGGAAAGAAAAAAAGAAAAGGTCTACTGGTGCTAGATCTAGATAATACGACGGATGGAATAGAGTGGGAATTTGATGTTTTACTAGGCATCTGCGGATAGTAAGCGATGTGTGAAGCGGCGCATTCTCATGAAGAAACAACCAAGTCCGCACTAACACGACGCATCCCAATTTTGTCACCCAGAAAAGTGGATGGCGTGATCCTAGCTGATACCCACTTCGTCAGCAAGTTTTCGAATAGTTAGAGGACGATTTCCACGGGTCACACACGAACGCTCTCGGCGTAGTCATCATCTTTTGATGTGCAATGTCGTCCGGGCTTCGGGACTTCACCGACCGACGTTCTAGAGCGGTTCAAAATGCGCAAACTACTCAAAACCCCGCGTGAGACCCATATGGTCCTCCGCATACGCTTGGCTGATCAACTGAAATATCTCTGTAAAAGCTCTACCAAGATTGTATCAAAAATCCACACACACGCAATGTTCTTCAAGCCCTTTCATTGTCACCTTGACACTAATCCGAGGAGCAGCTTATGAAAGGGCTCACTTCAGTGGCTGTAGCATGTCAACTAACAATCAGAGCGAAACACGGCAAATGGCAGTTTGTTTTAGAAGCGTGCCTCTAGGTGCGCGAAGTGGCCGCAGCGCGCATCTCTGCCGGTTGATTCGCTAGTTAAGAAGTTCCTCTTCTCTTTAAACACAGTAGCACAGCACTCGCGGGAATTTGAAATTTTGAACGAGCCAGCCACTATGGCGGTGCACTCCCGGTTACCGATTGGAATCCAATCGGTTAGAGCAGTTTTAGCCCGGAGGCTCAGACCAATGTCCACACCACCTCGACGGGCATTTGAAGCTGCGGTCTCTCCGAACAGATGCAATGAAGAAGTTGCACCTGAAGTAGATTGTGGAGTGACCACGGAATAGTCTCACAGTGGAGTTTAAGATAAGTAGCAGATACCGATCTACAGCATCTCTAATGTTCGGGTGAGTGTTGTCTGTTGACTGATCCGCAACAAAGTGCGCAGGTCGACACATGCCGGCCTTAGAGAGGATCAAGGGCTCCAGATAGAAGCAGATGAATTGAGGCTGTTGGTTTGGTTGGACACAGACTTGTCGACAGAACAGTGGCGACGCTCTACCAACGCATGTGAGCATGTGCCAATCGAAGTAAGATTGGGGGCCAAGTGCTGTGTTGAAAAGAGGGAGCGAAAAGTAGACTTGGGGCGGAATGATAAAAATGAAAAGTTTATATGACGGTGGATAAGAAGATGAGGTCTGAACAGTAGCAACCTCGCGTTCATTCCCCGTCAGAGCACATAAAGAAAAGGTTTGAGGAAACAATGCAGACCATAAGGTTATGATTGGGCTCAAGAATCCAGTTCATTCGTCGTTCCCAGACAAGATTGTTTGACTGTGGGGTTCAGCCAGCAAATATCCCAAGCAGATGTATTATTGTATTTAACACTTGCCCAATAAATATTTGGCAGAGTGCCACAACACGTGAGTAACAATAACAAAAAAGAGAGTGAGTAGGAGGAATGGAAGCAAAGTTCCATGTGTTGTGTGGGCATTAAGCTTCCCGGTTGCCCAGGCCGAGGAAGAGGGCTGACTTAAGGGACCCCACTCCGAGCCTTTGGTCTTAAGACCCAACTCGCAAGGCAGCAGGGTGACTCACGAAGACCGCTGACAGCCAAGTGGCTCACTCGCCTTCTTTGTGTTCGGAAGCAGTCAACAGAGAAGCCGGTGGCCAGCGAGGTTGTTCATCCGCCCTCCGTTAGATACTCACCCCCAGTTACTGGAGTGAGTGGTCAGTGACCCTATAGCCAATCACATTGGTTTTGACACAGCGCCGTAGGAGCACATGTGGTAATTAATGGAGAACCAGGTGACCAGCCCAGAACTCCCCATGCTCTGAGACGCTGCCGCTGATTGTCCGCGACTGCTTATTCATCTCGCCTGCAAAGCAAACGAGACTTATTCGCAGTTACCTCCACAAGGAAGGCATTCCCTGATCCGCAACCTGGGGACGCGCGCGATAGCGTACAGCTCCGCCACGGGCCAAGCAGATGACTAGTCACAAAGGTGTGAACAAGTCGTTCGACAGTTACGTACGATAGGATAAGATTGCAGCTCTAATACAGTTGGACCGATATCTGATAGTTTAAGAATGGGATTTGACCAAACTGAGACGAACATCAGTGTATTTCGCGAATCAAAGTATAACGTTTAAATCCACCAACGGCTCAAAAAGCGCAGTGGGAGCAGCTACAAACCGCCTGCTGACAATAGATAACGTGCCCTGTAAAATACACGGCCATGAAGAATGAACAGTGTTAGAGTGCAACACCGCCCTCAGTCAATTAGGCCACAGGATTATTAGTGAGTGGTAGGATGTTTATTAGATTTTCAAGAAGCAGTTAGAGTCAGGCAGACAGCCACCACACATCAAATAAGGCACCAGACGGCTGTTTCGTCTTACTGGAACTTGCAAGTAGCGCGCACCCGCTGAATCATGTCGTGTTCGAACCCAAGACCTTACTCTTACACGGTCACTGATCCATGTGTGACGGCGGTGGACCGCCGTGACTGAGTCTAGCTGCGATGAATGTTCTCAGAAATCCAGTAAACCCTCCACTACTCACCAATAATCAAAATCCGCCTTGACAGCTTACATCCCATCCGGAGTTGTGGTGACTTGCAAATGAAGTTGCTGCTCTGGGGCCCAGCCCTGTCCTCTACCTGTTCATAACAAGCATGGCAGTGGAGGATGAGCCGCGCTAGATCGCAGTTAGATATGAGTCACGGGGGTCCGTCACCGTCACCACTGGTTAAGGAGCAGAAGTCGCTGGCTAATAAGAATCCGGCAGGGTTCGGCAGGTACGCGCCACTGATGAATACTAATAAGAGGGAACGACCGGCTAACGCTTGCCTCAATGTGTGATGGCTGTCTGTCTGAGTCTAGTTGCGACGAATGTGGGCCACAGAAATCTGTCACGGCCCGGTGGCCTCAGCCCATAGCAATGACTGAGAATGACAATTAACAACTGCCAGTCGGAAGACACTTTTTCCTAGCACCAATGTTGGGTAGGGCAGTCATGGAGGCCATTAGTGAGCGGTCAATGTCGTTTACTGACAGTGGAGGAAAGTCATCGGTGCAGACTGCCTTGTTCCGCTTCAGCAGCAACAATGCATTTCGGATATTATTGATGGTAGGAGATGAAAAGTATACGAGGGCATGGCCAAGATCACCTTGAGTGTTCCCGACTGAGCAACAATTTTTGGAGTGTCACACGCCAGAGCATTTTGCTTCATAATGGTTACCCGCCACTGTGCACATGGTATGCAAGGAACTGAAACAGTGCCCCGACTGATGTCCTGAAGTGGACAGCAGCCGAGTGACACATTTATATCCACCACAACATTAGGCATACCTCCAATCTGTCATTCGAATAGAAGAGAGTTGCTTGTATAGTCCATCTTTAGCGGACTCCGATCTACAGTTGGTGCGAGAGTATGTCAAGATAACGAAGAGTTATCTTGCCTTCGATCGCTGCTTAATAACTTCCCTAGAGCTTCGAAATCTAATTACACAAGAGCACCTGTTCACTAGGATCCAGTCTAGAAGAACAAGTTCTACACGTCTGCAAAGTACACCTCCAATACGATAACTGCTGAGAGGAATGGGTTGCGTCACCGGAGACGTGGTATGAGAGCTTGGTCACTGGGACCCGAATCATTTAAGTGGAGAAACATCAAGGTGGTGTATGTCAATTCTAGTTATTGAGTCACAGTAAGTGATGCCTTCTGACCGATCTGATGCGGTGTATTGCCTTCGAACGAAAGAAGGCGGAGCTGTACTATGGAATTAGAAGATAATATCGCTTGTTTGTTAGCGTGATAGATAAAGTCGCTTGCTAAGCAGGATGAAGGGCGCCGAGCAGAAAGCTACACAAATACGCCGAGGACAGGGTTTACGGGTAGCTAGTATCCTACGGCTAATCATTCACAGAGAGGAGTTTGTACGAGATTTCTCCCATCTGGTCATGGCCCACAAAGCAGCATGGAGCACGCCCAGCTCGCGAGTATGACTAACAAGTCAAGTTGGGATCTGTGTGAAGTCGGCGGCGACCGGCCTTAAAAGATTAAGAACAATGAGCATTGTTTGTGTTTACTGACGGTCGAATGATGTATCGGCGAATGAGAGAAACTGGGGGTGTGTTATGACTTAATTGCACTATTTTGATAATGTACTGTCTGGCTTGAGTTGGATGGTGATAGAACAAATGGTAAATGCGGTGCTCCTAAGTCGTCAAGATTTGGTGCCGGTTCTCTACAATGTATCTGAGGTCTGTTGTGGGTAACTACCAACAGGAGAGGGCCACCAATCTCTCAGTGATCTCTGACAAGGAGAATTGTGACAATGAGATTTTCTGACCTCTAGGCACGGAGCTGTCTAGTATGAGCAGCTCTGAAGGTCCTGATAACCGCCACTCAGCGTAGCATTGTGGAGCTCGGAGCCACATAGCCCATTGCGTTGTGTTAGGTTTTAGTCCCGTTGTGATAGTAAAAACATTTTAACACGAATTTATACCAATAGGATATTGTTATACCTATTTTTGAAGGGAAAATAGCCTCGTTTTCCAATTGACGTTGTATCCACACCATGAGACAGTTGATGTAATGAGGAGCAGAACACTTGAGGGGTTTCTTTACTGTTTGTCCGTCTGCCCAATGATATTCATACTTCGGTCCAGCGCTCATCACTGGACACGAGTCCTCCGTACAAAACTCAATGAGAGTGCCGTACAGCATGTTAATTTGGTTGAAAAAGTCCACTGCTGTAAGACAGAATAAAAGTGTAAAGGTGAGATGTCGTAGCTCGTAACAAAACGTGGAACTGTAAATGTATCCGAACTTCGAAAATGTCTCACATACTGTTTATGGCAATCCACTCGTGCAGATCTTCTCCCTCGGGTAAGCGAACGGCTTCTCTCAGATCTCCACTTCCAAGAGTGGCCGCACCTTCTTGAAGCATGAGGTGGTGATCATTTTGTTCCGAAATGCTTTTCCGAGGTTTAAATGTTTTGATTCCTAATCGATTTCCGCTGTATTAAAACACAGTGAAAATAAACTGCATCAGATCACAAAGATAACTCAGATGGCACACCGAAAGTCCATTACCAAAAAACAGCAAACGAAAATGGATGGACACTGAGGGGTGACGTTTAAAAAAAGCCACATAGGGCCCCCGACGTTTTCATTTCAACTAAAAGATAACATTGAAGCCTACGTGCGGAGTAATTACAAAATGCTATGACCAATTAAACCTTTGCAGTGAAAAGAGTGGATGCTAACATCTGTTAAAATACCTTGTTTCGTTGACGGAACTTGTCGCCAGCCATATAAAATTTACTGGAGACAAAACATAGTACCGCTAAGCAACGACCAAACCGCAGGATACCGAATCATCTTTCGGCGATTGAGTGTAATATGAACAGCAGCGGAAGAAAGCTAAGGAGGCTGATTGGTGTAAAAAGCGTCCTACAAGGGACAATAATGACACCGAAAAAACTGTTGATGTAATAGACTGCTAGGGCTCAAAGCACTGACTTGAGGATGTAACTCTCAGAGTAACCATAACTGTGAGTAAGACATACAAACGGTAAGACCACTGAGTAACTTTGACGCACGAAGCTCTGAATTGTCTAAGCCTGGTGAACCTGCGGCACGAAAGTCAGCTAGTGGCCGAAAGGATTAAGCGCCTGTCTTGTAATTCGAAGGTCACCGGTTCGAATCAGCGTACGTGCAAGCGACCTCACGGTAAACTCGGCCGGTGTGCGAATGGTTGTGGTCACATGGCAATGAACCATCGGTACGGTGTACTTTCGTTCTGTTGCTGCCTTTTTTCTGCATTATGATGAATGCAAAAAGTGACACTGGATGCAGCTACAGGCATGGAAGCGATCTTCACAGTGAGGTGCTAGAGAAGCGAAATCAGACGAACAGAACGAAGTGCAAAGCGTAGACAGAAAACCGGTATCGAGCATGATAACTAAAAGTGGCTAAAGGATATTACCGGCCGGTGGTCGAAAGAGCCACAGGTCCACCTAGTAATCCGGAGGTCACTGGTTTGAAACCACATAGTTGCGGGCGATGTCGCGGTATATTCAGCCCACGCGCGACTGTTGGTGGCTGCGTTGCAAGGAAGCGTTAGTAAGATGTGCTGACGTACTGCTGATGCTTTTTGTATTGTCTCCAACGCTTCCAGTGAACTTGGCGATGTAGTAGCGAAGGTGTAAGGGCCAGATTGACCTAGTATGCAGAGGTTGCATGATTGCTCCAGATAAGACACTAAGAGGCGTGTTACGTGCAAAATTGTGAGACAGTAGTATGTTGCCATCACACCCCTGCAGCATCTGATTGAACCAGGGATGTTGATAATTTAATTCCACGAGCCGAAGTAACGAAACAAGGCTCCTGGACCCGGCGACCTTCCACACGCATGCTGAGAGATAGTGAGGACTCTTTGTTGACTCGACTTGCTTTTTAACACGAGTTGGGACACTGAAGTACCTTCAGAAGCGACTGCCAACGGTTGTACCCATCTTCAAGAGGGGTCGGCGTACTTTGTGCGAAAATCATCAAGGCATTAGCCTTATTTCCATTGCCTCAAAATCTCTTCGACGACTTAATGGTCCCCGTGTGGACCGAATCACTGGAAGCTAGGCTGGCTTCTGCCCTGGCCGTTGTTGACTCGACTAGAGGCACACATATACACGACCGACTCTGTTGATCGAGACAGCTTCTGGTGTTGCCTATGCATGAAAGGCGAGTCAGCTAAACTCTTTCCCATTCTGAAGTCTCCCTACCGTGGTTCCCGAGAACTTGTAAGGGTCTAAGCGAAACCCTCTCCTGAGTTCCCAACGACAAGTGAGGTTCGCCAGGGTTGTCCTACATCGCCTTTCCTCTTCAACTGTAATCGAAATGATAAATCACACCGTTGTTGCAGACTCCTCCAGAGTGCAAATTCTGTCAGGTGACCGATCGTCAAACTTGAGAATGTAGGTGGCAAAGTTCTCCTTGGGGGAGCATTGAACCCCTGTTTGACAAAGGAACAAACGAAAGGTGTATGAACTGAGCAATCAGTCACCGGCTCCCAAGTGGCGCGATTCCCTGAATTCGTTCTGGGGCTTTGCGGGCAGGCTATTCAGCCAAAGGCTCGGGGTCGTATCTCCTAAGTCAAAACCCTACTTCGGCTTGGGCAACCGGATAGTATCTCGCCCTCAGACGAAACCATGGATATTATATACAGTCGATTCCGGTTAATCGGACCACAGCGGGACCAGACCATTTTGGTCCTATTAAGCGGCTGGTCCGATTAACCGAAGTTACCCGATGTAACAAGATGGGACGTGCTATACATAACATAGGAAACTACTATTATGACCTGTATTGGCGGCATATATTTATAGCAAACACACAAAAAAGAACTGCTTTGATAACGAACTTTGTTCACTGAAAAAGAAATTTACAAACAAATTCTTCGTAACGATCTAAAGATATTCAGCATGCTAAGTACAGTTTTATACAAAGGGATTACCGATTTCCATTCAGCGTTTGAAGACTGTATCCAGTGTGGTTTGACGCATTCTTTTAACAGACTGCATTCGCACAAAATCACCACAAACATGTAACGCAGTAATAGGACTACCTTCATTTCCTTCCTGCATGAAATAGCGGTGCAATGTTTCAATGCATTTCCTTGCATCCTGTTTTGTGACTGGCATCAACACGTTAGGGTTCTCTTCATCACTTGCATGGTCTTCTGTTGCTGTCGTGTGTTTCGCTGCTATTCGAGCAACAATGGCAGCATCGCATTCTTCATTTCCATCATAGAGTTGAAGTTCGTTGTCGATTGACAAAAATTCTTCGTAATTTTCAACTTGTTTCAACTCCACATTCTCGCCGTCATTTTCATATACAATCAACATATCCACATCCATCTCCGAGATAATATGCTTAAAGCCACAGTGAGAAAAACAGCTCCGAATCGTCGCACTGCTCATTTTTCGCCAACTTTCGGCCACGAATGTAACAGCTTGCAAAATGTTGACCTTTGCACTGATTGCTCCGGCCGTCGAGGATGAGGTCAGCAAGCCTTCCTCAATTGATTCAAGGGTGTAATTCACCAACCTTGAACGATAAAAGGTCTTCAAATTTTTTATGATGCCCATGTCCATTGCTTGTATCAAAGATGTGCTCTTGGGAGGCAGAAATTCCATCTGGATATTCTTCAAGAAATCCAAATTTGAATGTGATGCACAATTGTTGAGAAGTAATAACACTTTTCTCGACTGCCGTTGTAGCTCTGTGTCCCAATCCTTCACGCATTCTTTAAAAAGTGTAGAGCTCATCCATGCATTTCTGTTCGCACGATACACAACTGGTAAACTGTCCATTCTGAGTCCCTTAAAGCAGCGAGGCTTGGCACATTTTCCTATAACCAGCAACTTACTCTTGTCTGTTCCGGACATGTTTGAGTAGCACAAGACAGTTACGCGATCCATTGCTTTTTTGCAGCCAGAGAGAGTAACCTGTTTGTAACTTAAGGAGCCGTCCGGTGTAGCCCTATAGTACAACCCGGTTTCATCAGCATTATAGATGTCATCTGCTGGAAATTTTTCAAGAAGCTCTGGTAGTTTTTTTGATTTCCATTCTTCAGCTCCAGCGCTATTGGCACTTTCTTTCTCACTATGTGCTTTCTTAAATTTTACATCATGTATAGATTTCCATCGAGACAACCAGCCGTCCGTAGCTATAAAATCTTCGTGGCCCAGTATTTTAGCGAGTTCTGCTGCTTTGTACTTTAACATTGGGCCACTTACTTGCACGGCTCGTCCAGTAACAAAGGCAAACCAATCATTAAGGGCCTCATCGACGTCTGGATCCTTGCCTTCACGCTTCCGTTTTTGGGAAGTACCTCGTCGTCCTTCACATTGTGCCCATTCTTCTCGCAGATCTTTCTCTTGTTTTATCAGGCGCGATATTGTAGATTTTGCCAAGCAGGTAATTTCCACCAATCGACGCTGACTAGTGGTTGGTCCCTGTTCCTTGATCTGATCTAGGAAACGAATCTTCGCAGCTAACGTCAAGTCCCGTCGTGGCATTTTCTTAACATGCATCAAGACACGCACAGTTCACTGAGGTGAACTCGAGTCTGTCTCCCGGGTATTCCTATGGTTGACCTAGCCACCTGCTGTCCTATGATTTGCCGGACCTGTGTATCCGCGATCACTTGCCGTGCTCGAGAGTAGGCCCGCAATGCGGGCTAAGGGCATTCGGCTCAATGGACGTGCGGTACATCGATCGAGCGGTTAACGACATGTGAACAAGCATGTATGTCTTCGCTCCGCCTACAAGGGTTGGAAACTAAAGTCAGTTTCGGGCGGTTCTGAAGCCAATTAGATAGATGTGCCTCAAGGTTGCCACAGTTCAGTTTATCCAAAGGCCAACTCGGATTACCGTAACTGAATGATACGCTTTCTTGCCCGACATATGAAGTGTGGGTTTAGTCCAGACATCCAGGCACAGAACTGGATTTTAACACCTCTGTTACCTGCCACCTATGGTCTGGTCCGATTAAGCGGAATTCCGGTCCTAATAAGCGGCTAAAATTAGGCTAGCGCAATAGGATTCGTTTCGGTTCTTCAGAATTTGGCCCGAATAAGCGGCTGGTCCTATTAACCGGTGGTCCTATTAACCGGAATCGACTGTATATATATGGTTGGCGGCATCCGGTTTCGGATTTGCCTGTCACTGTGGCCAGCCACAGGAAGCCTGTGCCTAAAGAGGGACCATGGGTGGCTTGGGCTGCACCACCCACAGCTCCAACCACACACCCCATACCCAGCGTAAACCCGAAGCAATAAGACCGGGAGGCATGCGCATGGGAGCCACGTTTCACCAACGGAGCCGGCCCACACTCCTTCACAGGCAAACACAAGCACGCTGTATTTGGGGAATCAAGCGCAAACAAGGCGGTGGTTGGACCGTAGACCGTTCCACACTGAGTGCACGGAACCACTCTTTGATCTTAACACAGCCA